GACAAAGAAAAAAAAAAAGCTGAGCACTGGTGGCTCACACCTGCAATCCTAGCTAGTCAGGATTGAAGAATTGTGGTTCAGAGCCAGGCTTGGCAGGAAAGTCCGTGAGATTTTTTTTTTTTTTTTGGTTGGTCATGAGGCTTAAATTCTGGGCCTGGGTACTGTTCCCTCAGCTCTTCAGCTCAAGGCTACCACTTGAGCCAAACACCACTTCTGGTTTTTTTCTGTCTATGTGGTGTTGAGGAATCGAATCCTGGGCCTTATGCATACGAGGTAAGCACTCTACCACTGAGCCACCTTCCCAGCCCTCTGTAAGACTAAACAAAAAAGCCATGAGTGGAGCTGTGGCTTAAGTGATAGCATGCTGACCTTGCACAAAAGAAGCTCAGTGAAGCTAGGCGCCTGTGGCTCACGCCTGTAATCCTAGCTACTCAGGAGGCTGAAATCTGAGGCTCTCAGTTCAAAGCCAGCCCGGGCAGGAAACTCGGTGAAACTCTTTTTTTTTTTTTTTTCAGGTAAGGGGTAGGTTTATTCAGTAGACTTGCTGGGACCAGGCAAGGTTGGCACTCCACGCTGTGGGGAAAAGCCTGGGAAAGAGAGCTGGGAGAGTTGGGAAAAAGAGAGAGCTGGGAAAGAGAGAGAGGAAAGAGAGAGAAAAGAGCTTGAAAAGAGCTAGACAAGAGCAGAGAGAGAGGTAGCCGAGTAAGAACAGCAGCACTCACGTGGTATTCAGGTAAGGGGTAGGTTTATTCAGTAGACCTGCTGGGACCAGGCAAGGTGGCACTCCACGTGGCTGGGAAAGGCCTGGGAATGAGAGAGATCTGGGAAAGAGAGGAAAGAGCTAGAAAAGAGCAGAGAGAGCAGAGAGCTAGAAAAGAGCAGCGAGAGAGCATCTGGGCCTGCGCTAGGCCTTATCTAGGGTCCTCAGAGCAAAAAGGGAAAAACAAACAGAAAAAGAAAAAAAACAGAGAGGAATCCCAGCTATCCTGACTTTAAGCCCTTTATCCGAGTCATGGCACCATTTATGTTAGGTTTTTAAAAAGAGGTAGCCAAGTAAGAACAGCAGCACTCACGTGGTATTCAGGTAAGGGGTAGGTTTATTCAGTAGACCTGCTGGGACCAGGCAAAGGTGGCACTCCACGTGGCTGGGAAAGGCCTGGGAATGAGAGAGAGCTGGGAAAAAGAGGAAAGAGAGAGGAAAGAGCTAGAAAAGAGCAGAGAGAGCTAGAAAAGAGCAGGGAGAGTCGGTAAAACTCTTATCTCCAATAAACCACCAGAAAACCAGAAGTGACGCTGTAACTCAAGTGGTAGAGTGTTAGCCTTGAGCTGAAGAGTTGAGGGACAGTGCCCAGGCCCAGAGTTCAAGGCCCAGGACTGACAAAAAAAAAAAAAAAAAGCTCAGTGACAGAGCCTAGGCATGAGTTCAAAGACCTGGCATCAAAAAACAAAACAAGAAAAAAAACAAAAACAAAAAACAAAACAAGGAGCTGGGAATGTGGCTTAGTGGTAGAGTACTTGTCTAGCATGCATAAAGCTCTGGGTTCAATTCCTCTGTATCACATAAACAGAAAAGCCAGTAGTGGCACTGTGACTCAAAGTAGTATAGTTCTAGCCAGCAAAAGAAGCTCAGGGACAGTGCCTAGGCCCTGAGTTCAAGCCTCAGGATTGGCAAAAAAACGAAACAAAACCACAATCAAACCAAAGCAAAACAAAAAACTATAGGAATGGATGAGAAGGTGTAGTATGGAGAGAGAGGACCATGATTTAGCTTTGAAACCTTGACATTTAGATCTTGGGTGGAACACAGAGTATCCAGCCAAGGGAACTGAGGCAGAAGCTGCCAGAAAGATGGAGGGGATGAGAAAATGAGCTATCATAGACCAGAAAACTGTTTCAGGAATGAGTGATCAACTAAAATGTTCTTAGTATGTCTTCATTGTCATAAAATACAGTCATACTCAGGGTGAGATCAAACACTATCTTCTTTAAATTGAATAAAACTTGAAAAACTTATGCAATCTTGTCATTGGAAATTCCATGCCAACCCATAAATGTCTAGTTTCATATCATGAGGGCAAGTTTCTTTGCACTTATTTTCTTTCTAATTTTTTTTTTTTTTTTTTGTCGGTCGTGGGGCTTGAACTATGGGCCTGGGCGCTGTCCCTCAGCTCTTCAGCTCAAGGCTAGCGCTCTACCACTTGAGCTACAGGGCCACTTCTGGTTTTCTGGTGGTTTAGTGGAGATAAGAGTTTCACTGACTTTCCTGCCCAGGTTGGGTTTGAACCGCGATCCTCAGATCTCAGCTTCCTGAGTAGCTAGGATTATAGGCATGAGCCACCAGCACCCGGCTTCTTTTTAAAATTTCTAAACATTGTTATTATAAAGGTAATGTACAGAAGGGTTGTGGTTATATAAGTCAAGTGTACATTTCTTTTTTTTGGGGGGGGGGCTCCAGTCATGGGGCCTGAACTCTGGGCCTGGGTGCTGTCCCTCAGTTCTTTAGCTCAAGGCTAGCGCTCTACCATTTGAGATACCGCGCCACTTCCAGCTTTTTTCTTTGCTTATGTGGTGCTGAGCAATCGAACCCAGGGCAAGGCAAACGCTCTACCACTGAGCCAACTTCCCAGCCCCAAGTGTATATTTCTTTTTGGACAGTGCCACTCCTTCCCTCACTCTCAGTTGTTCCCTCCCATTCTCATCCATAAGTTGTATAGTTCATTTTTAACTTCAGTGAGTACCACTGCTGCATTTGTTCACCCTTTGTCCCTCCACTTATGTGACTCTGTTTATATTCACAAACACATATAAATGAACAAACAACAGGAAGAAAAAACAAAACAGCAAAAAAGAAAAAAAAAACATGTTTTCTTTTCCTGGAGTTCATGTTGATAAATGTTGTTTTGTATGATCAGATGCATATAAACATTGTTACTTTTCTGTTCCTCTTGTAAGAGTATCTTCCATTGATCTCACTGTGTGTGAATGCCTAGATCCATTCATTTTCTTAAGAATAGGCATTACTTTTATAACTTACCATTTGTATTGATCTGTATTATTTGTTCTGTTCCCACTCTTATTTTATTTATTTTTTTAAATGCTGGTATGGAGGACTGCGTTCAGGGCTTGAGTGCTATCCCTTAGCTTTTTTTTTTTTTTTCTTCATTCGTGGGGACTGAACTCATGGCCTGGTCACTGTCCCTGTGCTTTTTCACTCAATGTTAGCACCGTACCACTTTGGGCCACAGTGCCACTTCTGGTTTTCTGGTGGTTACTTGGAAATAAGAGTCTGATGGACTTTCTTGCCTGGCCTGGCTTTCAAACTACAGTCCTTAGATATCAGCCTTCTTTGAATATCTAGGATTTCGGGTGGGAGTCACTGGCACTCAGCTTCTCTTAGCTTTTTAACTCAAAGATGATGCTGTACCACTTGAACCATAGCTTCACTTCTGCTTTTTGCTGAGAAAGATGAACCCTAGATATATTTTAGTCTTACAAGGCCTCAAAACTAGATATTGTGGACAACAGAGAAGGCTGGTTAGCCCTTCAAAAGAACTTTCCAGTAGTATAATGCCAACAGAGAATGAGGCAATACCTGGAAAGATAGCAGGCAAACTCTGTGTGTGTGTGTGTGTGTGTGTGTGTGTGTGTGTGTGTGTGTGTGTGTGTGTCTATGTCTGTGTGCATGTGTATGTTTTACTAGGGGACTGAATCCAGGGTTTTCTGCTGCTCAGCATGTGCTCTACCACTGAGCTACACCTCCAGGCCTAAGGCAACCTTTCCATTTGTTTATATAACAGACAGTTTAACAAATATCAGGAAGCTGAAACATTTTGAGTGGAAGGAGGCTGATGGGGGTGGTGGTGAGTGGAAAAGGGAACAGTGAAGAAATACATTCATAATTCTTAGTGTAAGTGTTTAGTGGGAAACTTGATGTGACTGGCAGAGGAAGACTGTGGAAGGTGGGGAGAATGATAGAAGGGGTAGTTCTGATTAAGATGCACCATACACATAAATGGATATGTTAAATAGTAATATCCCCCCATACCACCACCCAACCCCGTACTGGTGGCTCATGCCTATAATCCTACTACTCAGGAGGCTGAGATATGAGGACCACATTTCAAAACCAGCCTGGATAGAAAAGTGTGTGAAACTCTGTTTAACCAGTTTCAAGCAGTAAGTGGCAGTGTGGCTCAAATAGTGCCAGTCTTGAGCAAAAAAGCCAAGCAAGAGCTTGAGGCTCTGAATTAAAGCCTTATTACTGAAACCAATACATACATACATATATGTGTATTTATATTTACATAACATATGCAGCCTCCTTATATAACCATTTGAAGATAAACATTAAAAACGTGTGTCAAAAGTGAAAACACTTCTTCTGCCTGGTGTAGACAACAGTCCTGATGGTAGTAAGCCTTCAGGAAATCTGAACCTGATTTTACCATGTGTAATTTAGGGTTTGGACTTACTGTAAGGGTCAAAAGGACATGTAGGGGGGAGGTAGAGGGAGGATGGGAAGGGATGGGAAGGGGAAACAAAGAGGAGGCAACAATACTTGATAAGAAATGTACTCGTGGGCTGGGAAGGTGGCTCAGTGGTAGAGCGCTTACCTTGCATGCCTAAGGCCCTGAGTTCGACTCCTCAGCACCATATAAGCAAAAAGAAAAAAGCCGGAAATGGCGCTGTGGCTCAAGTGGTAGAGTGCTAGCCTTGAGCTGAAGAGCTGAGGGACAGCGCCCAGGCCCAGAGTTCAGGCCCCACGACTGGACCAAAAAAAAAAAAAAAAAAAAACAAAACCAAAACAAAACAAAAAAAAGAAATGTATTTGTTATCTTACCCATGTAATTGTAACTCCTCTGTACGGTATTTTCACAATATATATATATAAAAAGGACGTGATTCAGCAGGTAGGTAGGAAAATTATATTGATTTTAGTTGGATTGAAGAAGGGAGAACATATTTTTGAGTGTCTTATTTTAGTTTTTGTCCTGTTACAGGTCAGTGTCTAGTCTGGGTCCAATGTTCCTTACCAAACTGTAAAAAATGGAGGCGGCTGAGTGGGGACATTGACCCCTCAATTCTCCCTGATGACTGGATCTGTGACCAGAATCCAGGTAAAAAGGAATGGAATTTCATGCTGATTTTTTTTTTTTTTTGGGCCCAGTCGTGGGCCTGAACTCTGGGCCTGGGCACTGTCCCTCAGCTCTTTACCTCAAGGTTAGCGCTCTACCACTTGAGCCACAGCGCCACTTCCAGCTTTTTTTTTTTTTTTCCCTGCTTATGTGGTGCTGAGGAATGGAACCCAGGGTCTCATGCATGCAAGGCAAGCGCTCTACCACTGAGCCACCTTCCCAGCCCCCATTCTGATTTTTATTGCTCCTTTCTCTCTCCATCTCTTCCTCTTTCCATCCCTCCCTCTCTCCCTTCCTTCTTCTCTCCCCCCCCTTTCCTTCCTTTTTTTCCCCACTTCTTTTTTTAAGTGCAAGTCCTGGGACTTGAACTCATGCTCTGGGTGCTGTTCCTGAGCTTTTTCTTGTAAGATTGGTGTTCTCTCACTTGATCCACAGCTCCACTTCTGGTTTTGTGTGTGTGTGTGTGTGTGTGTGTGTGTGTGTGTGTGTGTGTGTGTGTGTGTGTGTGTGTGTGTGTTGGAAATAAGTCACAGGCTGGCTTTGAAACACCATCTTTATATCTCAGGCTCCTGTGTAGCTAGGATTACAAGTGTGAGCTACCAGCACCCAGCCTGCTTCTCCCAAAGATCCTATAAATGTACTTATTCCAAAAAGGGTCCTTGAAGAAACTGGGAGAGAGAAATGATCTTCCTATTGTATGAGTATGAATCTGGGCATAAGGGTTGGGAGGGACAGCTTGTTGAGTTAATGTTATAAGGAGGGGCTTAGAATCTGAGTAAATGTGCTGAATGACTTTCATGTTTTTCAGCATTAGTCTGATTCTGTCATTCCTGATTAGAATATTGGTATTGGGTTGGTGGATAGGGAGAGATAGAGTATGTAGAGGAAAGTAGGCAAGAAGTGACCCAGTGAGCTTAGAATACAAGAATGTTTAAGACTTTTTGGAAGCAATTACGGTTACTTTTTTTTTGTCCAGCTCAATTATTTTACAGATGAGAAAACAATGTCGGAGAAATTATCCTTGTGCAGCCTCCAGAGGGGAAAAGAGTCATACTAGGGTGTAAGCATGAGTTTGGGATCTCTAGAGAGGATTCAGAGGCAGGATGATTGTTCCTTTTGGCTCTAGTGGCCTTTCTTTCACAGTTCTTCTCTCTCAGGTTCCCTTTTGGTTCTATCTGCTTCCTGTACCACTTTTTTTTTTTTTTTTTTGCTGGTCCTGGAGCTTGACCTCAGGGCCTAGGCTCTGTCCCTGAGTCTCTCTGTGCTCAAGGCTGCGCTCTAGCACTTTAGCCACAGCACCACTTACAGCTTTTTCTGTTTATGTGGTACTGAGGAATCAAACCCAGGGCTTCATGCATGCTAGCCAAGCACTCTACCATTAAGCCACATTCCCAGCCACCACTTCTTTTTTGACCTTTCCCTGTCTGGGGTCCAGATATTTATCTTCTAAGGCTCTTGTCTTTCATTCTTTTTCTCTCTTGGCAGACTTGGCTCATAATCGCTGTGATATTCCTGAGGAGAACTGGACAGAGTATGAGACTGAAGTGGCCTATGCTTCCTATATCCCGGGATCCATGATCTGGGCCAAGCAATATGGCTACCCCTGGTAGGAACTTTAGTTAAAGTTTCCTTTCTGAATGTGGGAATGGTAGATTCAAGCAGGGAGGGAAGGAAATGGAAAGATTTGTAATAAATAGTAACTTGTAATAGGTACTTACTCTAGAGAGAACATGGGTGAGAGAGGGAAAATAAAAAGTACCAGGTTTGGGGACTGGGAAGGTGGCTCAATGGTAGAGTGCTTGCCTTGCATGCATGAGGACCTGAGTTCTATTCCCCAGCACCACATAAGCAGAAAAAGCCAAAAGTGACGCTGTAGCTCAAGTGGTAGAGTGCTAGCCTTGAGCTGAAGAGCTGAGGGACAGCGCCCAGGCCCAGAGTTCAGGCCCCACAACTGGCAAAAAAAAAAAAAAAAAAGTACTAAGTTTGGGACTTTGAAAATATGTTTTCTGAAGGTTTCAGAGTAGAAGTAGTTTGTTTGTTTGTTTGTTTTTCTTTTTTTGTTGGTTGTGGGGCTTAAACTCTGGGCCTGGGCACTGTCCCTGAGCTCTTCAGCTCAATGCCAGTGTTCTACCACTTGAGCCGCAGCACCACTTCTGTTTTCTGGTGGTTAATTGGACTGGACTTTTCTGCCCAGGCTGGCTTTGAACTCTGCCTCCTGAGTAGCTAGGATTATAGGTGTGAGCCACTGGATCCCTGCTAGAAATGTTATCTTTCTAAGAAAAAAAAGTATCTGACAGTGATCCTATGAGTGGGTAGAAAAAGGAAAGATCTAAGACATTTCTGCTTATTTGTTTTTGAGACAGTTCTATTCTGTAGCCCATACTTACCTCAAATTCACAATCCTCCTGCCTTAGCATCCTGAGTAATGTTATTATAGTAATGTCATTTTGCCCCACTCAAGGCATATTAAGGCATGAGAGCCATTTTACACTTAACCCTAACTCTGATATATATATTTTTTAATATGTGTGTGTGTGTGTGTGTGTGTGTGTGTGTGGTTGCGCGTATGCCTGTTTTCAGGCTTGAACTCAGGACCCGGGCACTGGCCACTGTCGCTGAGCTATTATGCTACCATTTGAGCCATAGCCCCACTTCCAGCTTTTTTCTTAAAGTGCTTTATTGGAGATAACAATCCTATGGACTTTCCAGCCTAGGCTTGCTTCAAACCAAGAGGCTCTCAGCCTCTTGAGTAGCTAGAATTACAGGCCTTCAGCTACCCCTAACTCTTAATTTTAACTAATCCTCAACCCCTAACCCTTACAGGGGAGGGTAGAATAGGTTTTTCTTGGTAAAGTAGAAGTCCCTTATCAGAAGTTTTTTTTTCTCAAGAGTTTCTGGGAGGGAGGGGGTGGTCACAAGGGTAAGACAACTGTACTATGAAGACTGAACTTGATGGAAGTCACTACAGTTATTTACCCATTTCTGTACATGTGTATTGACAAGGTTATTTTCTGTTCATCTAACCCCTTCTTTCCATCCCTTACACCCATGTGTCTTCTCCAGGTGGCCAGGCATGGTAGAATCTGATCCTGACCTAGGAGAGTATTTTCTTTTTGCTTCTCATCTTGATTTCTTACCTGTAAGTTTTCTAGTTCAGATCAAAACAATCCATTCATCCTAACAGATGTTTATAGAGTTAGAAAAAAAATACTTAGCCAGGAAACACATGTGGAAAGACACTTCACTAGAGTGACAAATAATGGAGATAAATACCTACACAGAGAAAATTGTGTCTAAGTATTTTTACACTTGTAGCCACTTTAGGTTTTAATTAATATACTTTGGCTAGGATTCTTGAGGTCAGAGTAGAAGAACAGTGGATTAGGTGGTATAGATAACTCAGGCTTCAGAAAGCATATGAGGCCCAGCCCTTTCTTTGTGAGTCTCCCTATTCTCCCCCTGGTTAGAAGTGAAAAACAGGGAAGACAGGAATCAAAACAGGGAGAAGGACGGGAATCAAAACAGGGAGAAGGATGGAATCAAAACAGGGTATCTTTTATTACAGTCTAAGTACCACGTGACATTTTTTGGAGACACAGTTTCTCGTGCTTGGATCCCAATCAATATGCTAAAGAACTTCCAGGAACTGCCCCTGGAGCTAATAGGAATGGTAAGACAACTTTGAGTATTTCATATAGACAACTGGAAAATTAAATCTTCCCTTTATTAGAGCTGTTCTGCTCTCAGAGGGAAACTGTTGGGAGAAAGTCCTATGTCTAATCAGGTATGCCGGGGGAAGATTATTCATGAGGGCTTTTTTTTTTCTACCAGAGTTGTATGGAATAATTTGTATGTATGTGTACCACTTCTGGGACTTGAACTCGGAGCCTCATGCTCTTCCTTAGCTTTTTTTACCCAAGGCTGGCGTTCTACTACTTGAGCCATGCCTCCAGTCCCAACTTTTTTGCTGGTTAATTAGGAGGTAAAAATCTTTTTGTCTGCTGGGTTGGCTTTGAACCATGATCCTCAGATCTTAGCCTCCTAAGTATGAGATTATAGTGTGGACTACAGTCGCTGTATGGTAATGCTTCTTCTTTTTTTTCTCTCCCCTTCTCCCCCCCCCCCCCACCCCAATTTCCTTTCTGAATTTGAGCCAACTCAGTAGCAGCAGGCATGAGGGTCCAGTTTAACTTAGGGTTTTTCAGTCTTAGCACTGTGGACATTTGGGTTTATTTGCACAGAGCAAAAAAACAAATCAAGCTGTCAGTAGTAAAACAAGCAGCTAGATTTAAAGAAACTTGTGAAAAGTTTAAGAATTTTGTTTTTTTTTTTTCATATTCCTCTTAGGTTTGTTTTGGAGATTATACCAAAATGTTGGTTGAAAAAATTACTAGGAATTGAGGGAAGGGGAGTACTAAAAGGTAATGTCATTGTCAGCACTAGGAACCAGAAGGAACTATTTTTTTTTTTTCTTGTCAGTTGTGGGACTTGAACTTGGCCTGGGCACTGTCCCTGAGCTCTTCAGCTCAAGGCTAGCGCTCTACCACTTGAGCCATAGTGCCATTTCTCGTTTTCTGGTGGTTAGTTGGAGATAAGAATTCCATGGACTTTTCTGACTGGGCTTGCTTTGAGCCATGATCCTCAGATCTCAGTCTCGGTAGTAGTTTGGATTACAGGCATGAGCCACTGGCACCCAGCTCAGAAGCAAATACCTTTATGATAATGTCTGATGGGTGGTCATATGTTGGAGTCACTTTTCTAATATTGCTGATTAATCTTTTTTTTTTTTTGGGTCCGGTCGTGGGGCCTGGACTCTGGGCCTGGGCACTGTCCCTCAGCTCTTCAGCTCAAGGCTAGCACTCTACCACTTGAGCCACAGCGCCACTTCCGGCTTTTTTTTTTCCTGCTTATGTGGTGCTCAGGAATTGAACCCAGGGCCTCAAGCATGCAAGGCAAGCGCTCTACCAGTGAGCCACCTTCCCAGCCCCTTGCTGATTAATCTTGAAGGCAGTATTTATCATTAACTCTGATCTTCCCCTTGAAGGCAGTATTTATCATTAACTCTGATCTTCCCCTATTTCAGAAAAAGTACAAGAACAAGGATTACAGCCAGAAACTGGGGGCAGCCATAATGATGGCTCACAAGGCAGAACAAGTCAATGTTCAGGTACAAGAGTGTTCAGACCTCTTTCTTTTCTTTTCTTTTCTTTTCATCCCTCCTCCCTCCTTCCTTCCTGCTCTCCTTTCGTGCCTTTCTTATACTGTTTAAATGAACTCAGGGCCATACACTTATTTTGGTTGCTTGCTGGTTGCTGACCTTTTATCACTTGAACTGGTCATACAGCCTAGGTTTTTGGAAATAATAGTCCCAAAGGTTTTTCAAAGCCTGTCTGCCTTTGAACTTCGATCCTGAAGATTTATTTCAGTTTCCTGAGTAGTGAGGATTATAGGCAATAGGCAAGCGTACTTAGCCAGACCATAGTCTTGCACAAAACAAACTATTCTTTCCCACTGGAGGAAAGCCAGTTGTTTGTGTTCCCTTCCCTATTCTGCAGCTCATTTCCTTCCAGGCCAGATTCTTTTGACTCAAATAGTTTGTTCCTTCCCTTAACTTTAGATAAGTGGGGTTTTCTCTCAGCCCAGAGTGAAATAGTTTGTAATAGGGGGTATCCTGCCTCATAATTCGCTTCATGTCTCAGAAATATGTACCCTAACTTCTCATATGTATGGAGTCAGGTCGTGTGTGTGTGTGTGTGTGTGTGTGTGTGTGTGTGTGTGTGTGTGTGTGTGTAACTGGAATTTAACTCAGGGCCTTATACTTGTTAGGTAGGTATTTTATCACTTGAACCACACACCCACATGTTTCATACTTCATATTTTTTTGGCTAGAGTCTCCCATTTAACTTCCCAGGGCTGGCCCCAAACTGTGATCTTCCTACCTTTGCCTCCCATGTAGTTTGAATTATGGGCTACCATACTTGGCTAGGTGGTTCAAATAGGGTTTTGCTTGGGCTGGCCTCAAACCACAGTCTTCTGATTTCTATGTCCCAAGTAGGTGGGATTATAGATATATACCACTGTTCTGGGCAGTAGAGTCCGTTTTTACCTTCATATTGCTTTAGGAGGAAGTGAGGGTAGTGAGAATGACAAACTATGAATTCCTCTATCCTAGTTGCTTGCTCAATTATGAATATATTGAAAAAAAGAGATTGTAGTTAATTTCTGTAAAAGTCCAGGGAAGGCAAATGAAATTTCAAAAGATACTTCAAGGCTGGGCACCGGTGGCTCACGCCTGTAATCCTAGCTATTGAGGAGGCTGAGATCTGAGGATCACAGTTCAAAGACAGCCTGGGCAGGAAAGTCCATGAGACTGTTATCTCCAATAAACCACTAGAAAACCGGAAGTGGTGCTGTGGCTCAAGCGGTAGAGCACTTGCCTTGAGGTAAAGAGCTGAGAGACAGTGCCCAAGCCCAGAGTTCAAGCCCCATGATGAAAACAAAACAAAAAAAAAACCTTCAAATGAAAATGATGGAAAATGAATACAAGTATCATCATACATGAAAATCTAGGAAGACAGAGCAAATGTTGCCCCTGAGAGGATAGTGGATAATGCTTTTGTTTCTTGGTTTCCTCAGACTCGGGTTAACTTGTTTGGTTTCTGGAACCGATACGGTAGATCTGACAATAGTGGAGGAAAAAAAGGTAGGAGAAGTGAAGGGTGAGGGCAAGAGAGGGAGAGGGGAGTGTCTATGAAGGGTGCGGCCAAAGCTTTTCTTTATGTTCTGTGCCATCTCCCTCATTCTGGATTTCTGGCATAGGAGGCTTCTGTGAATGTGATCCATTATTAGGATGGATGGGCAGATGGGTGGGAGAAGAATGGGGACAAAGGAGGCAAGAAGAGAAGGCACATGAGAATAGGGATGGACTATTTTTTTTCTTTTTTGGCAGGTCCTGGGGCTTCAACTCATGGTCTGGGTGCTATCCCTAAGCTTTTTGTGTTCAAGGCTAGTGCTCCATGGCTCCACTTAAAGATTTTTGGTGATTACTTGTAGATGAGTTTCACAGACTTTTCCTGCTTGGGTTGGCTTTGAATTACCATCCTTACATCTCAGCCTCCTGAGTAGCTAGTAGAAATAGACTTTAGAAAGGGTGGAACTTGATGATCTGAGAAGACCTTTTATGGGAAAAATGTCACTAGTATGCAGAGGCAGAGTGGAGACAGGGGTCAACTCCATTAACTGGTCAACTATATTTTTTGATAACTTATATAGTTGCTCTTTCCTTTTTATATCTAGAAGTAATGCCATCTAAGGCTAACAATCCAGAGTCTGGCTTGAAGAAAAAGAAGAGAGAGAAAAAAGTAAGATGATTTTTTTAATTAAAAAAAATTTTTTTTGCTTGTACTGGCCCTTGAATGCAGGAGTTCTTGCTTGGCTTTTTCATTCATGGCTAGCTCTTTACCATTTTAGCCACTCACACCTCTACTCACACCTCTACTTTGGGCTCTCAAGAGTTTGTTTGCCTGCCTGAGCTGCCTTCAAACCTCCATCCTCAAATAATTAGCCTCCTGAGTAGCTAGGATTATAGGGATGCCCTACCAGTACCTGGAAAGATTAATTTTTTGATATAAAGAATCTCATTTGGCCTGGTGCCGGTGGCTCATGCCTATAATCCTAGCTAATCAGGAGGCTGAGGTCTGAGGATTGCGGTTCAAAGCCAGCCCAGGCAGGAAAATCTGTGAGACTTATTTCCAGTTAATCACCAGAAAATGGGAATTGAGGCTGTGGCTCACGTGGTAGAGGGCTAGTGTTGAGCTGAAATGCTGAGGGACAGCGCTGAGGCCCAGGGTTCAAGCCCCACAATTGACCAACAAAAAAAAAATTCTCATTTGTTTATCTTTGGTACTGGGGTTTCAACTCTGGATCTTGTGCTTGCTACACTGACATTCTACCACTTGAGCCATGTTTCCAACCCTTTCATCCATTATTCTTTAGCACCTTCTCTATTAGGAAGGGTTATATGCCAGGTATTGGTGGCTCATGCTTATAATCTTAACTGTTCAGGAGGCTGAAATCTGAGGATCACAGTTTGAAGGCAGCTGAAAGTCCATGAGACTCTTATCTCCAATTAAGCACCAAAGACCAGAAATAGGGGTGTGGCTCAAGTAGTAGAGTCCTAGCCTTAAGGGGAAAAAATTCAATGACAATGCTAAAGCCTGAGTTTAAGCCCCAGTACTGGGTGAAGGGAGAACCAGTTATGTGCCTCAGTTAGTCTTTTTTTCAGTGGTACTGAGCATTGAACTCAGGGCCTGCCATTTGGTAGGTAAGTACCTACCTCTTGGGCTAGAGTTTTGCTTTTAGTAGTTTTTTTTTTGCCGGTCATGGGGCCTGAACTCTGGGTCTGGGCGCTGTCCCTCAGCTCTTCAGCTCAAGGCTAAGTGCTCTACCACTGGAGCCACAGCACCACTTTTGGCTTTTTCTGTTTATGTGGTGTTGAGGAATCGAACCCAGGGCCTCATGCTTGCAAGGCATGCACTCTACCACTGAGTTACCTTCCCAGCCCCTTGCTTTTAGTTTTTCAGATAGACTCTCAAGCTAGCTTTGCTTAGGCTAGCCTCATATCAAGATCCTTCTACTTCCACATTCCCAACTGTGTGTGTGTGTGTGTGTGTGTGTGTGTGTGCGCGCGTGTGTGCGCGCGCGTGCCAGTGCCAGTTCTATGGCTTGTACTCAGGGTCTGGGTGCTGCCTCCGTGCTTTCCTTTTTCTTTTCTTTTCTTTTTTTTTTTTTTTCAGTCATGGGGCCTGAACTCTGGGCCTGCGCTCTGTACCTCAGCTATTCAGCTCAAGGCTAATGCTCTACCACTTGAGCCACAGCGCCACTTCCAGTTTTCTGAGTGGTTTATTGGAAATAAAAGTCTCAGGGAGTTACTTGCCTAGGCTGGCTTTGAACTGTGATCCTCAGATCTCAACGTCTTGAGTAGCTAGGATTACAGGCATGAGCCACCAGTGCCCAAGCCTCCAAGCTTTTTTGTCCAAGGCTAGTGCTGTACCACTTGAGCCAAAGCTGTACTTCTGGCTTGTTGCTGGTTAATTGAAAGGAAGTCTCACAGGCTTTCCTGCCCAAAACCATGATCCTCAGATCTCAGGCTCCTGAGTAGCTAGGATTACAGAACTGAGCCACTGGAGCCTGGCTCAATGCTTAGCTTTAATTTTGTCTTTTTCCTATTTTCTGTTCCACCTGTAGAATCCAACTTTGCCTGGTCCCAAGTCAGGCAACAAGCAGACCAAAAAAGCCAAGCCTACAGGTAAGCAATCTAGCTAGAAGTAGGTCCCACAGTTAAGGAAGGGCAGAAGCAGAGAGTGTGAGGGGAGCTGACTGACTCAGTTCCAGGACCCGAGAAAGCAGGCAAGAACAGCTGATGGACACAGGAAGGAAGTTAGAGCCTCCTCATTTGCATGCTTTCTAAAATTTTATGTTCAATGTAGGAGAGGGAGTTTCAATTTTTAGTGAAGAAGGATGACTTCCTAGAGAAAGTAGACTCTGAGGAGAATCACAAAGAAAAGAGGGTCCAGTGTGGGGGAAAATGTCAAGAAGGTTGGGAAACTGGAAGCCATTCACAGAACAGACCAGATTGAGAATGAGCAGAAGTTGGAGTAGGGCAGACATTAGATGTGAGGAAAACATTTGCCCTTGGCAAGCTGTTAATTGGAAATAAATTGCCTTCATATTTGGGGTGGGGTGGTATAGGTATGGCAGATGAACAAGACAGGCCCCTGAAAAAGAGAATGAAGAGGAGATCTCTGGGCAGTGAATCTGTAGATGCCTCTGCACCCATCTTTGAGAAGGAAGAAGAGCCAAAGAATACAGATGAGCCAGGTGAGGCTTAGGGTGGAAAGAACGTGGGGAAATGAAGTTCATGTTTGCATCTTCTCCCTTTCCCAATCATTTCTGAACAATTCCACAGCTAAGAAGGAATGAAATACAGAATGAAAGAGCAAGTCTCATGTTGTATCCAGCACACACTGTAGACAATGGTTATTGATCAGACTGATTCCAGGGCTGGCAGAACCATAGGGGGAAGAAAGTGTTTAGGTATTGCCAAGGGCTGGCGACACGGGTGCTTCTGTGTTTATTCCTTCTAATTCTTCCCAGAGATCTCTGACTCTAGATATTTGACTTTATAACTGTAAGGAAACAAGGCTCTCAAAAGTTTAAAATTTGTTGAAGACCTTTATTTAGCATATGAGTGATCCATAGCTGGAATCCAAACCTCTTTCTTTGTACTAGAAAAGGTAGTTTTTGCCACAGGTTTTGTTCTGTTTAGTTTTGTCTTGACACAGGACTTTGTGAATTTGACTTGTAAAAAGTCAGGAAGGTCAGGTGGCAGTGGCTCATACCTGTATTCCTATTACTTAGGATGCTGAGATGTGAGGAACATGGTTCAAAGGCATCCCGGGCAGGAAAAGTCTATGTGAGACTGTTACCTCCAGTTAATCACAAAAAGCCAGAAATGGAGCTGAGGCTCAAGTGATAGAGTGCTAGCCTTGAGCAAAAGAACTCAGGGTCAGTGCCCAGGCTTTCAGTTCAAGCCCTAGTACTGGCATGTGTGTGTGCGTGCATGCGTGCGTGTGTGCGTGAGTGCGTGCATGCGTGTGTGAGTGCGAGCATGCGTGTGTTTGTGTATGCGCGTGTGCATACACAAACAAAAAAAATTCAGGATGCACTGACTGTCACCTTTGTTCCCTTTTCATTTAGGCTGTAAGACAAATTTTCAAGCTCCCCAAAGCAAGGCTTCAGCACCCAGATTGTCTAAGGAAAAAGAAGTCAGAATGGTGCCCCAGGGCCAGGCCCCACCAGCTTGTCACAGGCCTGGTTTCTTGTTGGGGAAAGCTTGGCCTTCACACCCGGAGCTTCTAGCTGAGGAGGTTATTCATGTCCCGGCTGAGGAAGGAGAGTCCAGTGACCTGGACTTTGAGCAACTCATGGAAGACATTGGGAGAGAGGCAGAGGAGCGAGGGGAGCTGCAACACGGAGATAGCGCAGAGGACTTCCCCATGGCCCTCTTTGAATAGTGCTGTGCTCCTACCCTGCTCCTGTTCTCTGGAGCTGCTGGGAGAGCCTTGGAGCCATGTCCTTGATCAGCTATTGAATGTTGGGAGTTGTTGGTTTGACACAAAGTTCTTGTGCAGTTACTGTGTTAATAAAGCAGATTTGGTTAGGTTTGTGTGTAGCCATGTGCTCCCTTTCAGCGTCTTTTCCTCCTCCCCTTGGTACTGGGGCATATCCTATGAAGGAGGAGGCTGTCCAGCGTGGGAACCTGGGAAGGATACTGAAGCCTGACTCCTGGGCAGGTCTGGGTTGCCACTGTGGCTCAGCTGCTTCCTAGCTGGCTCTAAGGCCTTTGAAAAGCCTAATCTACCTGGCTCTTCTTTCCGAGCCTCCTGGGCTCATCATCTTCCTGTTCCATTAAAGGGGCTCCATGCAAACAGTCCCCATGCATGCCAGTTATAGAGAGGGAGTGATGATGGGTGGATTCAGAAGCAGACCCTGAGTTTTGGCCCGGCTACCAGAATCCAACATTTATGTGGAAGAAAGGCATTAGGAGAGGTCTTGGATATGCCAACCCGGGCAGGAAAGTCCGTGAGACTCTTATCTCCAATAAACCACTAGAAAACTGGAAGTGGTGCTGTAGCTCAAGTGGTAGAGTACTTGCCCTGAGCTGAAGAGTGCAAGGACAGCGCCCAAGCCAGAGTTCAAGTCCTATGACTGAAAAAACAAAGAAGAACCCCAAAAACCTTTATTTAGCATGTGCATTACAGAAAACATATAAGCAGAGAACCAAGTATTACTCCCACAAACAGTTCAGTTGTATATGACTGTCTAGATCTTTTTTTTTTTTTTTGGGTCTGGTCATGGGGCCTGAACTCTGGGCCAGGGTGCTGCCCCTCAGCTCTTCAGCCCAAGGCTAGCACTCTACCACTTGAGCCATAGTGCCACTTCCGGCTTTTTTCTTTTTGCTTATGTGGTGCTGGGGAATCAAAACCAGGGCCTCAGGCATGCAAGGCAAACACTCTACCACTGAGCCACATTCCCAGCCCCGACTGTCTAGATCTTCCATGGAACACATACTAATCCCTTTTAGGTAACTGACATCATATGGTATATATCATCCTTTCCCAAAAGTTATGAATTCAACAATGCTGTTCATTTTTAGTAAGAGGAACAGAAATAGAAGGTCCTGCCCATTTTTCTCTTAGAGAAGTCATTTGGGTATTCTGAGGGTATTTTATTTTGGCAGACAAGGATGAAGAAATTGAAGTGAGGGCTGGGAAGGTGGCTCAGTGGTAGAGCGCTTGCCTTGCATGCTCGAGGCCCTGGGTTCAATTCCTCAGCACCACATAAGCAGAAAGAAAAAAGCCAGAAGTGGCGCTGTGGCTCAAGTGGTAGAGCGCTAGCCTTGAGCTGAAGAGCTGAGGGACAGCGCCTAGACCCAGAGTTCAGGCCCCACGACTGGACCAAAAAAAAAAAAAAAAGAAATTGAAGTGGAAAGTGGATCAAATGGTTACCACCTCATTTCCTATATGGCCTTCAAACTGTCTGACTTGTGAGTTTTCTGCCTCTGGCCTTGATTATTGGGAGCTGTGAATTTTGCTATTGAAAATGGTTAAGGACCATTCATTTGGTCACTTCCTCCTAGGTGTTTCCATGGAGAAGATGGCCAGAAGGCATTCTCAGTGAGGAGTTGGAGAGGGTAAGGATGGCATAGACAGTGCTCTCATTCTGGGTGAGCACCAAAAGTTTAGACAGGAGACAGAACCGCCCCTGACTTACAGTAGCAGCCTGTATCCCAAGTGCCCTGCCCCCACCCAGCTCCCCATCCTTCCACCCCACCTCCTCTCATCTCCTTTCTTTTATGCCTTAGAGCTTGGGAAACTGTTGGAGCTCTGTATGTTGTCCTAGAGAGAAAAACATGAGAGAGTATTGAGGTGTGACAAGGTGGTACACAGATAGCAAGGGATGCCAGAGGGGTGGCAGCTGCCAGATTAAAGCCAGATTCACATGGGTGGGGTGAGGTGAAGAATGGGAGAGAGGAAAGGACTGAAAGGGGACAGTATGCATATGTAGATAGAGAAAAATGAAGGGCCAAGGGTAGCAATGGGGGAAAGATGATATAAGATTTACTTTTATAGCTAGTATCTTCTTATTTTTCCTCAGTATTTTGAGAGACTTCCCTGCAGGGGAACAGGAGGATGGGAAGGATATTAGAGGCAAATCATGAGTGGGTTCAGACATGTGATAGGGGCTGATTCTCTTTGAGGGGGTATCTGCCACCTGCCCTGACACATTCAGGGTGAATATGATGGTTTTCAGAACAAGGCTGCCTGGAAGGTGAATAGTGAGAAGCCCTTGACAGCATGGCCTGAAGTTTTGCCTCAGCACTAATCAAAGGTATGTTGCTTTATGAAAACTGTGTGGTAGTGTTGGGGCACATGGGAAAAATGTGAAGTGCCAACCCTGTTAGTCTCTAGATGCACTGCTTCTGCCCAAACTGGGAGAAACATACATGTTCACAGACACACAGACACATACACAGACACACACACAGACACACACACAAACACACACAGACACACAGACACAGACACACACACACACACACACACGACTTAGTTTTAGGTCCTTTGAGCAGGTTGCACAGATTGGGTCCCTGGAAGGAGACTACAAGAAGGGCTAATAGCCAAAGAAGGCACAAAGGGAGGGAGAGGAAGGATGGAGGGAGACTTAGAATAGGAAAAGTATGATGATTTTTTTGTGTGTATGTGCCAGTTTTTGGTATTGAAGTCAGGACCTGTGTCCTTGTTTGTGTTTTTCAGATTTCCAGTAGAGAAGACTATATATCTGACTTGCTGTTCTAATTGACACTTTACCATGTGAGCCACACTTGTATTTGTGGCTTTTGGCTGGTTAATTAGAGATAAGAGTCTCTTAGAAGTTTGGTGCTGGTGGCTCAGACCTATAATCCTAGCTACTTAGGAGGCTGAGATCTGAGGCTCAAGGTTCAAAGCCAGCACAGTCAGGAAAGTCTGTTGAGGGGCTGGGAAGGTGGCTCAGTGGTAGAGCGCTTGCCTTGCATGCATGAGGCCCTGGGGTTCGATTCCTCAGCACCACATAAGCAGAAGAAAAAAAAAAAGCAGGAAAGTCTGTTGGATTCCTATCTCTAATCAACCACAAGAAAACTGGAAGTGGCAATTTGGCTCAAAGTGATGAGAGTTAGACTTGATCCAAAAGAGCTCAGGGACAGGGCCCATGTCCTAAGGTCAAGCCCCAGACTGATAAAAAAAAAAATTCCCTTCAATTTGTGTACCTGGATTGGCTTTGAACCATGATCCTCAGATCTCAGCCTTTTGAGTAGCTAGGATTACAGTACCTGACAAAGAATGGTAATAAGAAAGGGGAAGAGGAATGGAAGGAGAGAGGGGAGAAAAGGAGAGTGTGAATAGGAAAGAGAGATGGAAGAGCTGAAGCAGAGGATGCCTAGGACAGTCTGCGGCACATTCAGCAGGGGAAAGGATGGACTTGACAGAAAAAAGTACACAAGAATATCAGTGGGGAGGCTGGGAAGGTGGCTCAGTGGTAGAGCGCTTGCCTTGCGTGCATGAGGCCCTGAGTTTGATTCCTCAGCACCACATAAGCAGAAAAAATAAAAGCTGGAAGTGGTGCTGTGGCTTAAGTAGTGGAGCGCTAGCCTTGAGCTGAAAAGCTGAGGGACAGGGCCCAGGCCCGGAGTTTAGGCCCCACAACCGGATCCAAAAAAAAAAAAGAATATCAGTGGGTTGGAGATGTGGCTCAAGTGGTAGAGCATGTGCTTATCAAGGTCAAGTCCCTGAGTTCAAACCCCTGGTGCAGTCTCCTCTCTAAAGTATCCACACCATAGCCAGGCGCTGGTGGCTCACGCCTGTAATCCTAGCTACTCAGGAGGCTGAGATCTGAGGATCGCGGTTCAAAGCCAGCCCGGGCAGGAGAGACCGTGAGACTCCTATCTCGAATAAACCACCAGAAAACCGGAAGTGGCGCTGTAGCTCAAGTGGTAGAGCGCTTGCCTTGAGCTGAAGAGCTGAGGGACAGCGCCCAGGCCCAGAGTTCAAGCCCCACGATCGACAAAAAAAAAAAAAAAAAAAAGAATCCACACCAAACAATAAAAAGACAAAGAGAGTAAGAGGCACCAAGGAAGATGGTTATGGCTGAGAAAACAGATAAACAGAAATTCAGAGAGAGTTGAGCAAGAATGAGGAGCCAGAGAGAATGACTTCTGGTAAAGAAGAGTGTCTGCTGACCTCATTATTAGGAGAGGGGGCCTGCAGGGTGAGGAGACTGGAACAGTAGGGTACAAGGCTGGAAGCAGACTAGGTGAGTCATGAGCCTCTGAGAAAGACCCCTGTGTGTTTTTCCTAGCTAATTGACTAACAGATGTAATTTCATAGCTATTATTTGCTATAAATATACAGATTCATATTCATTTTCTGGAAAAGAACCATAAACCTCAACAGGAAAACAGTTGTACATAAAAGTGTCCAAAGCAAATGTAAAATACTTTTCAATAATCCACAACTGTTAATGTTATTTTTCACTTACCTTATGTTACTTCATTGACTATCTGGCAAAGGTTTTCTCCATAAAAAACAAGTGGGAGATATCTGTGTGCTGTAAATACAACACAGGATAAAATCCTTAAAATGTTTATTCATTTATATGGATGTCATTGAGAAAAATTGTTGCTAATATGTCATTTAAAAAAATTTCTATCTCTATTTAATATTAAAAGATTTCCTTCCCTTGGCGCTGTGGCTCAAGTGGTAGAGCGCTAGCCTTGAGCTGAAGAGCTGAGAGACAATGCCCAGGCCCAGAGTTCAAGCCCCACGACCTTCCCTTCCCTTCCCTTTTCCATTTTTTCCCCATTTCTTCCTTTTCTTCCATTTTTGCCAGGCTTGGGGCTTGACCTCAGGACCTGTAAACTGTCCCTGAGCTGCTTCTGCTCAAGGCTATCACTCTACCATTTAAGCCACAGTGCCATTTCTGACCTTTTCTATTTATGTGATACTGAGCAATCAGACCCAGGGCTTTATTCATGCTGACTAAGCAGGCACTCTAACACTAGGCCACATTACCAGTCTTAAAATTACCTTTAAGTAGTTTTTTTTGTTTTGTTTTGTTTTTTTG